TTAAGAAAGTGTCCTTGAACTACTCTCTCGAGCTTCACAAAAGGGTATTGACCTGACTGATCAGACTATTGCAAAGGTCTTCTAACTGGTCTCCCTGCCTCAAGTCTTTCCCCATGCCAAACCACCCTCCACACCACTGCCGAAGTTATTTCTTTAAAGCGAAAGCCTGACCATGTCACCTCCTACACAGTAAACTCCAGTGTCTCCCTATTACTTCCAGCATTAAATATAAAATCCTTTGTCATTTAAAGCTCTTCACAGCCTGTCTCCTTATCTTTCTGGTCATCTCACACTTTACTCCCCTCCTCATATACTATGGTCTAATTGCACTCTTATATTCTATTCCTCACGCCACTTTCCATTTATGGATTCGGAGGCTTTGTACTTGCTGTACCCCATGCCTGAAACCCTCTACCTTCTCACCATCTCTTAGAATCTCTGGCTTCCTTTCAAGACTTAGCTCCAACACCACCTTCTGAAGAAGGTCTTTCCAGGTCCCCCAGCTACTAATGTCTTCTTCTGTCAGGTTATGTTCCATCTACTCAAGTAATTGGCTGAGATCATCAGCAAGCAGTGCAAAAAGAGTCAGACCATAGAATCTTACTTTGGTGACAAAGAAAGTCAAAACATACAACCGGAAGAAGACAACAAAGTCAAAGCTCTGTATGTATCTTGTATGCACCTAATTTTTATAATGTTTTCTCTCCTACTGGAATGTAAGCTCCTTTAGGGAAGGGATTATTTCTGCCTTTTGTTGTATCCTCAATGCTTAGCAGAGTAGCACTTAATAAATGCTTGCTGATGGATTGATTGCCAGGAAAACTTAAGTCTGTTATATCAGAACACTGAATAATAATAGATACGGAGCTAGAAGGGACCTCAGAAGTCATCCAGTCCAGTCCTTTCTTTTTAAAGTCAAGGAAACTGAGGTCCGTCAAGGTTAAGTGACTTTCCCATAGTCACATGGGTGGGGAGCATCAGAGATGGGTGGGAAGATCGCTGCAGTTACCCTGTGAGCAGCTATTCTCCACCCTGCTGTCAGCATACCCTGAAAGATGCCATCTTTGAAGGCCCCTGGACTATGAAAATGGGAATGAAGCCCAGAGAGCGCCTGATCATGTCGTGTAAGTCAGTCTTCAATACCATTCACACCCGTGTGATAAACTGTTTCACCTATGAACAAGAAGACAGTATGGCTGATATAAAAGGCATCATATTATACTAGAAATAGCACAGGACTTTGAGTCAGTCCCACCTCTGTCATGTACTAGCTGTTTGACCTTGGGTGAGTCAATTTGCATCCCAGAGACTCAGTTTCCCCATCTGTCAAGTGGGGGATTATAACGCAGCTGTTGTGAGGCTTAAACCAGAGAATATAAGTAACCTTTGTACCTGTAAAACATCATAGACATTGGTACCTGTTGGGGAATTCTTGGAAAACAGACAATATGAAAAATGATATATTGAGAAAAGGGTGTTCAGTTAAACATTAATAAGTGTTTTCTTAAGATATATATTTCTGGGTGCTGTTTATGCAAGAATGAAATCAGACACAGTCCCATTTTTAAGGAATTTATAATCTAGTAATAAAGATAAGACAGGTACATGAATGCCTATCTTATAGATCAGATTTTAAAAACAAAGCCAGCCCAATCTCTAAACAAAATGCTATCAAAAATTCAAGAAGTGTCAGGTCACTTTCAGGTTAGGAGAGATGATTTCATGAGGAAGATGACACCTGAGTTGAACCCCAAAGGAAAGGAAAGAATTTAAAAAGACAGTAATTAGTGGGGAGGGCATTCATAGGATCAGAGATTTAGAGCTGGAAAGGACCTTAGAAAGCAACAAATCCAGCCACTTCATCTTACAAATGTGGAAACTGAGCCTGAGAGAGTCACCCAGATAAGCAAATGTCTGAAGGAAGATTTGAATTCGGGTCTTCCTGACTCCAAATCCAGTTTTTATCTGTTCTGCCACCTTAAGGGGATAGCAAGAGGAAAGGCAAGAGGACAGGGAAGGACAGGATGAGAATGGGGGTGTAGCATTAGTTTGTTTGGCTCTAATATAACATGTATAAAGGAGAGTAGCCGAAAAGGTAGTTTGGAGCCAGAATGAGATTGACCTAGAATGTTAGACTAAAGAGCTTGTACTTTACCTAGAGGCAAGGGGGAGTCAATGAATGTTTTTGAGGAGAAGAGGTGATGTGATCTGAGAGTTTTGTTCTAAAAAATATTCAGCAAATGTGCAAGATGAATTGGAGATGGGAGAAACTGGTAGATAGAAGATGCATTGGAAGCCTTTTACAGTAATAGAAGATAGTAAGGGTTTGAACCAGGCTAGTTACAGTGGTGGGGGGAGGAGGTAGAAATGAGGGCATAGATTTCGGGGATATTTTGGTGGTGGAATGGAGAAAATTTGACATCTGCTTGGATAGATAGGTGTGTGCCTGAGCTGGTGGAGGGAGTAGATAAAGGCAAGGGAAGAATACTTTTTGATATCTGAATTGGCCAAAATTATTCTTGTCTGTAGTTAGCCTCTGGTTTCCAAGATTTTTACCTAAAGAATAAGTAAACAGCACAAATGTATTAAATAGTTCCTAAGCACTAATAAAGACTTTTAGACTCATAGAAGCTTAGAATGTTAGAGCTGAAAGGGAACTTAGAGGTCATTTAGTCCAATTCCTTCATTTTTATAAATGAGGAAACTGAGGCCCAGAGAGGTGAGATGATTTGCTAAAGGTTATAAGACATTTTTAGGATATAATTCTGTGATGAATTATGAATAATTAGTCTACTGCTACAGCTTCTGAAAGTTTCTCAGATCTGATATATTCTTAGAATGCAGATTAAATAGGGGGAGAAGGAAAAGGAGAGAGAGAGGAAAGGAAGGGAAGAGAGAGCGGAGAGGGAAGGAAGGAGAGAGAGAGAGAGACAGAGACAGAGAGATAGAGACAGACGAAGACAGAAAAAGTCTTCCTGCTTGTTATTTCACCTGAAATTAATTCTCTGAGAGTACCTTTAAACATCAACACAATCTCTGGTTCAGTTTGCCTGGAAAAAGGATAACTCTACCCACATTTCAGTTGAGTATGACTCATTCTTTTCTTTTCTTTTTTTTTTTTTTTTTAAGGGCTCAAGGCCTGGCAGGAACTTAATCCTCTTACCTCAACACACCATTTCCTCCTTTCCACCAGTTAAGTCTGGTTTTCTTGGGCTTGGTCTTTCTGGAAAAATAAAGCCAGTGTTATAATATAATTTCCACCTTCTCAGCTCCCTTAATAATCTCCTATGGTTTAATTCTGTTGCTTAGAGTAATTTTTTTTACAAATGCTAATTTGTTCACCAGTATTCTAGAAGTCAAGCCAAGTAAGATATTTCAGAAATAGCAAAATGAATATAAGCTTAATAAATTAGTCCTTATTCAGTAATGTCATTATTAAATCTGGTTTACTATTGCCTATTTCATTTCCATGCCCCAATATATATATCCACTAGCCACATGATTTATATGCACACTTATCCATGACGGAAAAAATCAGAGTAGTGATGTGGCATTAAAATCAATTTGTCTTTGAAGAGGAGAAATTGTTTGTTTTTTAAATTACCACCGTTTAGCTATGAATACAATATGGAGACATTGCTGGAGCCATATGGATGGCTTTTATATAGGAGGTGAATTTCCAGCAGAATATGGAAAGTGGAGGAGGTATATGGTTTGTCATAAAGAAGGAAAAGCAAACACCACTCCAGAGGGAAGAAGGTTAAGTTTTGAGTGTGGCTCACTGTCCCCAAAGCATTCAAACAGTAATTGGTTTAAAGCTAAACCTTTTGACCTCATTAAGACTATCAGAATAACTCAATCTTTCTCAAACTTTTTGCTCATGGCATAGTACTAATTCTTTGCTTGGAAGATTTGTAGCTTGCTAAGAGTGATTGGAGAGACTCTTGTAAGTGCATGTGATTGCAAGGATAAGTTCCATACAGCTTTTGAGAAACACCAGGATAAATTATAATACGTTTGAATTTCCATTAGGATGCTTGAATTTTATTGCTTGCATTTCATAGAAAGGACACAAAATTTATTCAACATTGTGACCAATGGATGGAAGCTATAGTTTAGTAAAAGAGAAACTTCCAAGTAATTAAACTACATATGAAGGAATGTGTACTCAGCAGGTAGCTAGTTTTCTAATACAAATTTTCAAACAAGTGGGGATACCACTTCTTGAAGCTACTATTGAGGGGATTTATGCCTTGACTAGGGAGCTAGAGCATATGACCTTTACACAAGTCCATAATTTTTATGTACTGACACAGAGGCTTAAATTAAGTAATGATTATCTTTTACAACAGAAATATAAAAGGAAATCGCTAATGGTTTTTCCATTCTACAGTTAATTTCAGGTAGGTGTGTGTACATACACAGATTGTGAAATAATGAGATAAATGCCATGTATGATATAAAAATCAGTCTTGTTCCCTCGTAGTCACATTTCTTTTTCTTTTTCTCTGAAATTTTCCACTGGAGAACAACTACATGACTGCTTTGCAAATGCATTTGGTGTGCAGGCTATACTAAATGCTAAGTTTTACATCCGTGTTAGCCCTTACAGTGTGCTCTGGACAGCACTTTCTCAGGAGACAGATCTGCAATGCTCCAAAACCTAGGTTTGCGTCCCCATACTCTGAATATTCTAAATATACATTCAGACATTTATGTCCTGAGCATTGGGATCAGCGTCACCAGAAAAAAAAAAAAAGCCCCTTATCTCCCAGGACCCAAGCTTCCTTGAAGCCTTTCTTTCTCGACACACTCTGATAGTTGCAGCCCAAGTCCTTAAAGCCATCTCCAAAGGGGGAACCCAAAGGTACAGCCTCCAGTTGCTGATTTGTCTCTGCAGCCCATGACACCCTACAGCTTCCATGCAGTTTAGCAGTGCCCTGCCTGTAGAAAGAGTCCACTCCCAGAAGGGAAGGGCTGGGTTTCGGATTTCATTTCCCTTGTAAACCATTCCCAGATTCCAATCCACTTGCAGGGCTTCTCTGCTGCTTTCCAGTCTCAGACCTCAGAGCGAGCCCCCAGCCCAGGGAGCTGAAGGAGGGCACGGTCAATTTCAGGAAGTCCAACATGAGACCAGCATCTCTCTTTCCCTTCGGCAGCCTCTTTGTTTTCTTCTGGCTGGTGGAGGGCAGAATTATCGGGGAAGATGAAGCCGGTTTTGCTGAATGTAACAAGTTCTTTTATGAAGAGACCCCGCCTGAAGGACTGGCTGAGCCTTTCCACGTGAAAATCTGTCAAAAATACAAGGGCAAGGAGCGCTTTGCCACCCTGTACAGCACCCAAGAAAAGATACCTGTTTACTCAGCTTTTCGATATGCTGTCTCTGGAGAGAGTAGGGAGCAGGGGTGGATGATCGAACCCCAGGTGAGTCAAACACTTTTGTAGATATTCTGCAGTGAGGCCCAAACAAGGGAAGGTGGCTAATGCCTTTTGCCTCGGAATTGGAGTGAGGGGGCCTAAGTAACAGGAGGGGTGATGGGCACTGTCCGATGAGGCGCTGTGCCAGAAAGTGCCTTCCTCCGACCTGAATTCAGATTCTCCCCGCCCACCCCCAAGCCTTTATACTCTGCTTAAGGAAATTGGAATTTCAGCTCATAAACTTTGTTACATTTTCATCCAAGTCCCTACACCACTAAGAAATGACAAGAGAAACCATTTGGTTCTCTGACAGACTCTTCTTGACCCAGGGTCTATGAGTTTATTTTTAATTTTTTTGATAACTATTGCAAAATAATTGGCTTCCTTTGTAATCCTGTGTATTTAATTTTATACGTATTTTTAAATTTTAAAACATTATTCTGAGACGAGATCCATAGGCTTTACCAGACTGCCAAAAGGGTCCATGACACACATACAAAATTTAAGATCCACTGCTCTACACAGAAATTTATCTATATGAATGATTATGCACATACAACATGAATGGTTGCTTTTATAAGGTACTCCACTAGTATAGGTCCCATGTGATACTAACTTACATGTGTACTTTGCTTTACAATTTACAAGCTGTTTTTCTGTGAAGTAGGTAGGCTCAGAAAGGTTAATGATTTGTCCAAGGTCATGTAGCTCATAAAGTCAGGTTTTGACCTCAAGTTCAGTGCTTTCTCTGCTCTACTATATAAAAAGAATAAAAGAAAGATCATATGTGTAATTGGAAAAAATAAAATACTATTTACAAAAAAAAAGAGGAAGATCATATGGTCACAAGGCTTAAAAACAAAAACCTGCACAATGCTTTTTAACTTAGAGACACTATGAGGTATTTAATTAATTTCTTCACAATTAAGAAATTTAGGAATTTGGAGGAGTGTTTCCTGTTATTCATTGTAGTTTATCTTCCATTCTACATTTGGGAAAATACCAGAAATTGTCAAATTAAGAAAAAATTTTAAGAAGTTTTGGATTTTTTAAAAAGGAATAGCAAGGACCTGGGGAATGTCTGTCTATTGGCTTGGTAGGAAGGACAAAATATTCTCCCCAGTTCATCTTTTCTCCACTATCAACCCCAAGGATTCAGAAATCAAACCTTCATCTGTCAAGTCACCCCCTGCAGTGTGCTGCAGTGTTCAATGTCAGTCAGTCAGAAGAACTGAAGTGGCCCTCAGCACTCAGCCTTCTGTCCCACACCTTCTCCTCAACCAACTATTCTGCTTCTAAGGCATTCTGGCATGGGCACAAGTGTGTGCATGCATGTGCACACAAATGTGCACTTGCACACACACATACTTTCTCTCTCTCTCTCTCTCTCTCACACACACACACACACACACACACACACACACACACACTTGCAGAAGCCAATAACCCCTCACCTAGAGAGAAGGTTGCCCATCACTTTCCACTTGCTCAACCTTCTCACCCTTGTCCATCTTGCTGCCAAAACCTTCCCAAGCCTCCTGATGTAATAAACACACCCTAACCCAACCTGTTCCTGATCTCCCGTAGCCTGCAACCCCCAGCCCCACCCAAATGAATACCAAGACAAGCTTCCATTCTTAGAATGAGCTTATTTGGAAGCCTTGAAATATAGCTGCTATCTTGCAATATCTGTTAAGTGCCCATTGTATAAATACATCAGCATAGAAGCCATCTCCCCTCCCCCACCCCATACTAGAAGGATATAAAGGAATAAGAATACACAGGAAACTAGATGTGTCCATAAACACAGGAAGAAAAAGTGATCAGAGTGGGATGGGCCTTCAGAAACTTCCTAGAGGAGGTGAGTTTTGAGTAAGAATGGAGTATAAGGGGCATGGGCTAGCAAAGGAAGGAGAAGGTTCCAGTGAAGGGAGGGACATCTGCCAGTGGATAAGATCAGGAACAAGCAAATTACATACAGGGCACAGCAAGCTGATCAGTCTAGTTAGAATAGGAAGTCTGTAGTGGGGAATAATGAGGAAAAAAGGTTGATGAGATAGTTGAGAGGAGGAAATTGATAAAGGAACTCCAAGGCCAGGCTAAGAATTTCCAAAAGGCTAGATAAGGAAATGCATGGCAGTGGGGTGTATTGGAAAGCATAAGGTCTGGGAGTTGGGAGACCCGGTTTCACATCCTGGTTCTATGCCTGTGTCCTTGCCTCTGTGCCAAGCTGTGTAACCTTGGACAAATTGCTTAATATCTCTGAACCTACATTTCAGGGAATCAAAGAAATTTCAAATTTGGAAAGAAACTTAGAGGTCATGCCATCCGACCTTTACCCTAAGCATGAATCTGTCCCATGACATCTGACAAGTGGACATCCAGCTTCTGCTGGAGCATCTCTACTGAGAGGGAACTTGCTGCCACCTGGGATAGGCCATTCTATTTTTGGACAGCTCCAGTTGTTAGGTGGTTAATTGATACACAGTGCCAAAATCTGTCTCCACACAATTTCTACCACTGATCTTAGTTCTGCCTTTGGAAATCAAGCAGATAAGTCTAATTCCCCTTCACTTAATGGCCAACTTATTTACATGTTGTTTCTTCCTTTAGACTAGAAAGTCCTTGAAAGCAGGGGCTGTCTTTTATCTTTCTTTGTATCTTCAACTTGTAGCTCAGCCCCCTGCACATAGTAGGTGCTTAATAAATGTTTATTGACACTGACTGAACAAGCCTTTTTAAGCACCTGCTACATTCCAGGCCCTGTGGTAGAGGTGAAGAGTCCTTCAAATAGTTGAAGTTGCCTTTTCAATAAAGAACTAGATAATTATTTAGGTCCACTTTAGCCCTTGATTTCTTCTGTGGTTTCCAGAAATTAGAAGTTAACTTTTTGTGATGTACTTATTGGAGCACCATAGAACATGAAGAGGGTTCAGCTAATTGAGCAGAGATACCCAAGCCCTGCCTCAGTCAGCATTGTGTCTGGTAGATGATGGTGTTTCATCCAAGTCTCTAAATAGGTCAGAACACTTAGGCCTTACGTGATGCCTCATACCTGCATTGGCTGAGTGCATTGCATCTGCCTGCAAGCCACATATGCTGTACCAAGAGCCATTTCTCTGGACTGCTTAACGAAGAGCCAGAGTTCTAAATGCAGCCATTCTGTCATTCATTCATCAGTCAATAAGCATTTGTTAAAGGGTTTAATATATGTCACACACTGTGATAGGAGTTGGGGATATAAAAGCCAAAAAACTGAGACATGGCCTCCCCTCTAGGAGTTTATTTTCTACTGGAGGGAATGTTACGTATATGCCAAGAAGTAAATACAAAATACGTGTAACTAAAACAAAATCTTTGCAATTGATGTTCCCCCATGACAAGAATACTACCCGTCCTTACCTTCACTGCTTAATTTCCCTGGCTTCCTTCAAATCTCAAATGAAATCCAACTTTCTACAGGAAACCTTTCCCAGTCTCCCCAAATGCTACTATCTTCCTCTCTGAGATTATTGCCCATCTGCTCTCTATATCTTTTCTATGTACCTAGCTATTTGCAATGTTGCTTCTCTCTTCGATGCTTCTTATTGGGAGAAATTGTTTCTGCTTTTCTTTGTATCCTCAGTGCTTGGCGTAGTGCCTAGAACAGAGTAAACATTTAATAAATGGTTTTTTTTTAAATAATTGATTGATTAGTTGATGGTAGAAGCTACCACCTGAGCTTTGAAGGGAACTAGGAGTTCTGCTGTAGGAGGCAGAGCTGAGGAGGGACAACATTCCAGGTATCCAGGACAGCATGAGCAAAAACACATCAGGAGATGGAATACAGGGTATAAAGAATATCCAATGCACCAGTTCAGTGGGAAGGTAAGATGTGTGAGGGAGAGGACTGTGTAATCAATCAGTCTGGCAAGGTCAGCTGGAGCCAAATTATGAAAGGCTGTCCAAGAGAGTTGGCATCTTATCCTAGAGACAATAGGAAGCCACTTATGAGTTCTGAGAAACAACTGTAGTATGATATGGAAAGAGCACTGGGTTTGAAATCAGAAGACCTTGGTTTGAATCTGGGTTCTACCACTGGCCAGTTGTCTGACCTTTAACAATTCACTTAAACTGTTCTCCCTCAGTTTACTTACCTGGAAAAAGAGATAACACTTGAGCCACCTGCCTCACAAAGTTGTTGAGCAAATCAAATGAGATAATGTCCATAAAGGGCTCCGTAAACCATAAAGTAGAATACAAAGATCAGCTAGCTGTGATGGAGGACAAAAGCAACATGATTTTCAGCAGGGTTGAAGAACTCATCACCAAAAATTAATCCCTGTTGACCAGCCAGCTCTTTACATCTTATACCCATTAAGGTCAATTAGTCAATAAGCATTTATTAAGTACCTACTACTTGCCAGGCACCATACTAAGGTGAGGGTACAAAGAAAGGCAAAAACAAACAAACAAACAAAAACCATCCTTGCTCTTAAGGTGCTCACAATCTAATGGGGAAACATTATGAAAACAATTACACATAAACAAGATAAATACAGGATAAACTGGATATAATCACAGAAGGAAGGAAGCATTAAGGGGGATTGGGAAAGGCTTCTTGGAGATGGTGATATTTTAGCTGGTATCAAGGCCCATCACAGAGAGATACTTAGCTCTGAGGTTCGAATTTTGTTTGGCGTAAAGCACTTTATGACTGTGAATCACTTTACCCAAACCTAGGACACACTTTTCTGAGGTCAGCATTATTATTAGGCCCTCATCAGCCAGGGGAGGAGCAGAGACAAAAGGGAAGCTTCGCCCTTGCCTTAGGTTATAGAGTGAGTCAGTGTCAGAGCTGTGGATCCTAGGTTCCCAGTGAGACAACCCTGGGAATCCATCTTTGAATGAGCTAGATCTTTTCAATTACATTGACTGAGCCAAAGGAGAATCCGGGGGGGACCTTCTGGAGGCAGAGTAGAATAGAAAATTTGCAATGAGGAAGGCAGCGTTACTTGATGGAGTAA